TTTTTTTTTTTGTTAAAATCTTCATTACTTAAAGCTGAGAGAGAAAAAAGCCAACTCAGGAGCCCTTTTCAAGGATGGCTCATTGTCTCTAGACTGAATAAATCACACTAGTTTCAAGAGAACCATTTTTTTTCCCATTTAATGACTTATAAAAGCCACGGGCTGGCCGTGGCTGGGCTCAGAGGCGGGTCTGGGCCTCGGGGACGTAGATCTCGATGCTGTCGGCGCTCTCGGTGGCCGAGTTCTGCCGCACGGAGGCCGCGCGCTTGGCTGCCATCAGCCGCTTCCGCGCCTCCTGCCGCTGCTTGTCCGAGTCAGAGCCTTTGTCCCGGCTCAGCTGCGATTTGGACTTGGCCGGCTTCTTTGGCACTGGAGGGGGTGGTTTCTTCTCTTCCTTCAGGGAGACAGTAAGGAAAAACACAGACCTGATATAAACATGCGCAGCTGGGTGCTGGCTTGGCCCCGCTGGGGCCTTGTCAGAGGGACTAGAATGGTGTCGGGGAGAGGAGCTCTGCAGCCAGAACCCTTCAACATCAACTGCCCCTGTTCCCACCAGGAGCCATTTTGCATTTCACGGAATCACAGAATGTCCTGAATGAGAAGGGACCCACAACAATGGTCTGGGCTGGAAGATTATCCAGTTCCATCCCTTGCCATGGCAGGGACGCCGATGGGAGTCCATAGTCCAGGGGCTGATGATCCACAACCAGGGTCATTGAGTCCACCCACTGCATGGACAGCTGCAGGACATCCTGTGCCTGAGAGCAGTGTCCAAACGCTCCTGGAGCTCTGGCAGTCTCGGGGCCATGTCCATTCCCTGGGGAGGCTGGGCAGTACCCAGCACCCCCTGGGGAAGAACCTTTTCCTGTTATCCTAACCCTCCCCTCCACGCAGCTTCTATGGTACAGGGTTCTTCTGGAGTGGCCTGGAGTTCAGAGATTGTCTGCTTCAGCTGTAGCTCAGAGCACAGCACAGGCAGCACGAAGACAACTTGATGTGGAGCTGCAAAATTTTAATAAGCCACCATGCCCTGAGCCACGGTCCTCCCTACCCTTACTGGCAGAGCCAGGACACCTCTCCTGCACTTTCCAAAGGTTCAAGTTGTTTTTCACATTACTTGGGCACAAGGGATAGTTAAATCCATCCACAGAGTACTAGGAACACTTGAGGCCCCTGCAACACTGCTCACTACTCCAAGCTCTCTCCATCCAACACCTTTTTCCCTTGCACAAAACTGTTCCCACTATTACTCAAGAGAAATGGCCTTGGTGCCTTGTGAGGCTGTGAGATTACAAGTGCAGGATGACAAAAGCCCTTGGGAGCACCTGTTTGCAGACAAAACCAGACCTCGTGTACCCGAAATGTGTACAAGGTGCTCTGGCCACTCCCCAGTGCCCCTCACTCACCTTTCTCTCCGGTGTCTCTGCCAATTGCCAGCTATTAGCTTTGAGGTGGTACAGCTCGTCAAACTTCATGCTGATGTCTTCAATGGAAAGCTGGAGGAGATCCCAAAATCCAGCCAAGTCCTGGGCTGTGGGTCTGGGATTGGCATTAGGGTTCTAGAAGGGGGAGCATTAAAAACACCATTTCAGAAAGAACATATTCAGCAGAGCAGTGTGCACAGCACCTTCACCCCTTTTATGTCTGCCTGCAACCAAACCCAGTGAGAACCCACAGGAGACATTGGTCCTGAGCATGGACACACAAAGCTATCATTTACAGCCCAAATAATTTCTGCCAAGCTCAGGAAGCAGGTCCTGACTGCATTCCGCCTTACAGCTGAGTAATCCTGAGCCAGACACCCAGTGCTGGCAGCAGGAACCTCCAAAAGCAGATGCCCAGTGTGGCAATCAGAGTGACATCACTGGTTTCTTACACAGAGACCCCCATTTCAGGGAGGGGAAATAATAGAAATGGATACCCAGCTCTGATGCTTGGATGTGCAGCACTTCAAGGAGCCAAACTGACCTTTCATGAGCAAAATTATTTTGCTACATTTCTGCCCAAAACAACCTGAAAGCATCAGTACTTCTCAGGCTGGGTTGAAAAATTTTAAGTAGCTTAGGTTTCTTCCAAGAACAGGGTTTTTCCAGTTCCCAGACTGCTGAACCACCACCACAGACCCTGGAAAGCATGGGATCAGATCTGAGCAGCTCACACAAAGCTCTGCTGGTGCTGCTGCTCAGCTGGGATCAGCACATTACCCGCTCCTGCTCCTCAAGTCTCTTGAAGATTATTTTACATCTAAAGGGGAATTCACCTCTGAGGAAGTTTGCAAAATCCATATTACCATAAGGCTTGAGGGGAAAATGAAACCAGAGATTCCATCAATCCCCATTAGGTCAAGTCAGCTCCGAGCAAGGGCAAACCCCTGCATTCCCTTTCAGAGATCAATTCCCAGTGACCTGGGGACAGTGTCAACAGCCACACATGCAAAGAGAGCATGTGTGGTCAAGGGCAGACTTTTCAAACTGTCTCCCCTATCTGGCCTAGCCTCAGGGGTTTGCCTCAAAACGCCCTTCAGAAGCAGCCGGCACCTCTGTGCTAACCCAGCCTTCCCCTGGCTGGCACTGCAGGCTGTGCCTGCACTGGCTTTGTTTTCACAAAGGATTGCAGCCTGTTAACACCTGACCAAGTCCTTGTAGTGCTGTTGAAAGAGAGGCATCCTCTCAGAAACCAGGAAAAAGAGATCCAGACTCACCAAGTTTTGCTCACAGAGGCCGTGGAATTGCTGGAACTTCTGTGACATTAGTAACTGTGCACTGCCCACTGCACTCAGCACTTTTCCTAGGACTGTGGGGGACCAAAAAAAAAAAAGAAGAAAAACGACCCGAGTTGAGCAGACTATTAATTGTAGCAAACACCTAAGTCATCAGAAAAGAAATTTCAGAGATCCTCAAGGCATCAATTGCTCTCAGGAACAAGATGTTTTGAAACTACATTTGTCTGCCATTGTTCCTTTTGGCAGGCCAAACACAGACCTGGCTGAGGACATTACAATATCCAAGCTGGCAGAGAGCTCCTCAAACAGCCCTTAGCCCCTCAAGAGAAGCCACCAGCACCACCTCAGAGAGGTCTGCTGGCACCTACTTAGACATCCCAGCCTGCTCTCCCAACCCTGCCCAGGGGAAAGGTGACACAGGGACCACTCTCCAGCCTCCCTGTACCAGCAGGGATTAACATCCAGGACTTTATGCTGCTCTTAATGGCTTTTCCAAGCAGCCTCTAGGCATGGACCTGTTCCTCTGCTCATTAGAGAAAATACACTCTGGGCTTTTCCCTCCCAGAGGCAGGTTCAGAGCCCCATGTGCCTGCAAGCTGCATCACCAACAGCAACCACCTGAGTCCTGTCCCTGCTCTGCTGCTGCCCCTGAGCCTGCTCAGGAGATCTGGCTGGACAAGCACACCCTGGGCTCTCCCACCCACCAAGGCTGTGGTTACACAATCAAGCAGCCTGCTCCTGGCACACAGAACAATGCCATGCAGTTCTTGCCATCTTTTCTTGCCACAGGTCAAGCCAGGCCAGCCCCGAGGCAGGGAGATTCCCTGCCAGGCAGCACCTCAGGGAATCAGATTAGGGATTAGCTTCTGGAGACTCAGCAGTGACAGTGAGCTAAAACTGAGCCTCACCTTTGTTTCACCTTTCTCAGGCTTTAAAAACATCAAAAGCAGGCTCCACAAAAAGATCCTGCCCTTTGCAGCCTCAACACCCACTCCTGTCACTCTATGTGCACCAGAGACATAATTCCCTACAAAAAGCCCAGGTTTTGCCAAGGCATTTGAAAATAGAGGAACAAGCCCAGCTGGGACTGAACCCCATAAAAATCAACTTGCCTTGTGTTCCTTGTTTCATGCTTTTGGTGTACCCAGCATGAATTCAGTGAGGCTTTCCCATGTGAAGAAACCTCTTCTCTGCTATAAAGACAGCTCATCAACTGAACTGAGCAAACAAGTTCCAAAGTTGTGTTCCTTCTGTCCCACTGCCAGCTAAGGTTTCTCCTGCCTATTTAAGAATAATGGGTAAGGCAGGGAGAGATCCCACAGCTTCCCTGAGAGCTTTCCCCATTTAACCTTTTTTAAGATTAAATCCATTTAAGCTTTTAGCCGTTTTGAATGGTCAGAAGCCACACCATGCTCTGTACATCTTTCATGCTGCATCACAGCATTATGTTGTACTCCATTTTCTACGGGAAGCTATATTACCCTTTCCAAGGAAAAAGCATTCCTTATCCCATCCTAATGCTCTGGCTCTGTGGGCTGTCAGCAATTTCACAGAACACCAGAATGCTGTGGGAGGGAAGGGTCCTTAGAATTAATCTCATTCTATGGGCAGGGACACCTTTCACTAGACCAAGGTGCTCCAAGCCCTGTCCAACCTGGCCTTGGACACTTCCAGAGATGGGCAGCCACAATTTAAGTGACCCCAATACTCAGCTCCAATTCCTTCTTGAGAGAGGTGCTGCTGGGCTGCTGCTCACACCCACCTTCCTCAGAGAGATTGTTCTCTTTGGTCTCCTGGTCCATCTGGCGGCACCAGCCCTCCAGGCGCTCGGTCTCTGCCTGCAGCAGCTTCAGGAACCAGAAGCCGTCCCGCCGGCAGGGCCCCGGCTGCGCCGGCTCCGACGGCGACGTGGAGGAGCTCTCGAGCCAGGGGTCAGGAGGAGGGAGAGAAGAAGGCTCCAGGGCTGGGTCGTTGTTTTCTCCATAGGAGAGGTTTCTCTTAATCTGTGAGGGCTTGGCTGGTTGCCTGGTGGAGGCATCAACACCAACAGAGTTGTTGTGCTGGGGGCACTCAGCGAGGCTTCTCTCAGATGATTTACAGCTGGAGTTATTTGGCTCCTGTGTGTCAGAGTCTGTGTCCTGTTTGGAGGACATGCTGCGAGAGTGGCTGTTTCTGCAGGGATCAAAAGCCGTTGTTCAATAGCAGAGCACAGCCTGGCTGGCCTTCCACACTGACAGCAAAATCCATGGCCACAGCAGAGCCTCTCCCTGCCCCTCTCACACACACAGACACATCATACACTCAGACAGAATTACAAGGTTGCCTGCTTACTGCAGCCGGTCGTTCAGACGAGAGGGCTGACGCATGACTACAATTACAGCTTGGAATTTTTAAATTTTTGACTTAATTTCAAGCTCCCATTGATTTAGCTGTTAGAGAACAAATGCTTTTTGCAGCAGGTGTGCACTGTGGAGGAAGAACTCTCCATGGGCCCCATTCAACACTACTCACTGGCACAAAGCAGGGAAGAAGGTCTAAGCATAAGTGGGGGAGGCACAATTTAAAAAAAAAGGAAACCGTGCAAGTTGCGTCTCACTTACCGCCACTCGTCCTCTACCTGCACCCCGATGGACTGGAATTTGGTGGCTGGTGGAGGAGGCTCCTCTTTTGCCACTGGCTGAAGGCAGTCAACCTTATTGAACAAAAAAAAGAAAAAATACAGACAAAAACAGACACAAGAACTTGTGGCTGGAATCCATGTTAGTAGACCAGAAGTTGCACACACAGAGCATGCTGACACCACACAGGAGGGCTGGCTAAGGACAGGCACCAGGCTACTGCTCAGCTCTGCTCCCACGTCAGGAGCAGGGCTGTGTCCTGCCAGGCTGCTGCCACCACCTGTGCCAGGAGCCCTGGGCTCTGCAGGGCTGGGGCTGCATCCCTGCGCCATCCCACACAGTCAGGGACCATGGCATTCAAGGGAGGACAGCGAGGTGATTGAGACTGACAGCAAAGCCTCTCTCCCAGGGATTGACACCCTCCATGGCTCTGGATAAGAGGGTTAGAAGGTTTTAGGAAAGAAATCCAGGTGACTTAAGAACCAGCTCAGAAAATGAAAAGCAGTGGAAGGCAGTCAGCCTCTTCAGTATGTTTCTTTTCCCTCACTGACTTTCAGGTGTTCTGCCCCACCAGCCTTGCAGAGTCCTTCACTGTCACCTGTACTGAGCTGGCCTTGCTGTAAAGCTGATGGAGAACTCGTTCAGCACACACAAAGCAGCTCAAAGCTCAGATCCTGCACTTGGAGCTGCCCAAGTTCCCCTGCACCTGGGACAGAACCAGAGCTCACAGCTACGTGTAACTGAGAAACCTGTCCCAGAGGGGGGCACAGCCCCAGAGCATGCATTTTGCTGACTAAAACACAGATTTACACTACTCACTGGGTTCTCATTTCACTGTGTTATCCACAGCTCATTTCCATTGATTGCAGCAGCCCTCCCCACATGGACATCAAGCAGAAGGGCCCACCTCTCAGGTAAGAATTATCCCTACAACCATGGTGGATAAGGAGCAGACTGACTGGAAGCAATACAGAGTACAGGGCACAGGCAGACCAGCAGCAAAAGGCCTCTTCAGAGGGAGTCACCTGCTTAACATGGACCCTCTGCTCTAGAAAATATTTTAAATTTGTACTAAAAGAGCTTAGTCCTTTCTGGGCTGTTGAGGCAAAGTGCTGCTATCTGGGAACACAGGCAAGGCAGTGAGTGGCCCTTGCTATTCTAAGTGAGCTCAGATGAACACCTGGTCACAGAAAAGGCACATGCCAAATGGATGGGGCAAGGACATTCCTTGGGACAAAGGAGAGCAAACTATTCCATACTTGTATTCCTATAGATGATAGCTTTCTTTTGGGGATATTCTCCACTTTAGGCTCTTCGTTAGTCAGAGTCCCTTTGTCACTTTTCAAAGTTGCATTTTTCTGAGGTAACTCTGGAGTGTCTCTGGCTGGAGTCACGACGCTGCCCCTGGTGACGCTGGGTGTCCTGGTGCTGTCCAAGCTGTCTGAGGAATTGCTGAGCCCCGACTGGCTGGTGACCTCACTCTTGTGGTCCTGGCTGTCCAGGTAGGTGTCCTGGGCTGACTCAGTGCTGCTCTGCACAGTGACAGAGATGAACGGCTTGGACGTGGTCCGAGGTGGGACGGGAGGTGGCGTCTTTTTATATGCCACTAGGCATGATGAACCTGCAGGGATGGAGGGGGAGAACGGAGAACGCGGGAGACAGGTTGGAGGGAAAGAGATACAGTGGAAGAGAGAGAAAAAGCAGGTCAGTCACAACTTCCAAGAGGAGCCTCCCAGCAGCAGTTGGAGGCAGAGGTGCAGAACCAGCCCACAGGCAGCAGCTCACGCCAGGGACCCACACCAAAGCATAGGGGAAGCGAAGGCAGAGCGAGAGCTAGCTTGCAAAAGAAGTCAAAAAGAATACCATGATGTGTGGAAATCTGGAAATGGAGAAGAGGGATAGAAAAGCCTCCCAAGAATGCTACAGGGTTTGGCAAGTTTAAGCCTCCACAGTGGGGAAATATTCTTTGGCTAAACCCTATGTTTAAGTGTCCTAGTACAGCCAAGTGTCTCAGCTCTTTGTCCCATCAGTTGATGAGTTTCAATGTCTGGATCAGGGTGATGGTTTTTCCTATAAAAATGGAAAGAAGCCATAAAATTTGTTAGATGTTGATGGTGGGAACACATATTTGAAGCCCCTGACAAGCCCAGCTGCTGCATGCCAGAAGAAAAGACATTGTCGGGATGCAACAGCCCAAGAGTGGTGAGATTGCTACTCCATGGCCCCAGATCCAAGTGGCAGCAAGGCTGGAGATGTGTGCCCAGCAGACATAGAAGACACACATCCCACTCGTAGGGACAGAAACATGGCTAGTCACATGAACCAGGACAGCAACTACAGCCCCAACCTGCTCCTGTCCCTGGCTAGACAGAAGGGAAGTCCACCAGTGCAAATACATGTAAAATGCAAGTAAAATCCATGTAGATGCTGCAGCAGCCATGTTTAGGCTCTCAGACTGCCCAGGATACAAAAGCCCCTGAGGTCACAGTCCCACTCCAGCTGCTGTGCAGCCAGGACAGGCTGCACTAGGGCAGGGAATGGCCAAACACACTGAGCAGTCATCTTCCTACACACACCTGACCCCCTTTCCCCTCCTACCCCTGTACTCTTGGTCCTCCCCAAGTCACTAGACTCTCTTATCCTACCTCTGGTTCCTGCCATTAAGTTCTGTGCAATCCCAAACTGCTTTTCCCCTGCACCCCACAACACATCCCAGCCCTTGCCAGCAGTCTCCTTAGTCCCAGAGATCTGCAGTCACTCCCCACACCACACCTGCTTCACCATTTCCAGCACAGCCAGAGCCAGTTCTGAGCATCCCTGGGAGACACATTCCCTGTGGAGCAATCACAGAGCTGCCCCAGGAGCCTTACTAACAGTATGTGGACATACCTATGTTTACACATCCCAGAATTTACCATATTAAGAGCTAAAGCTCCACTTCAAAGGAGGAACTAAAAGGGAGGAATTACAGAGGAGGAGATCTGTGTTTCCAGCAGCATTTCTGTGCCCAGAGATGCTAAGCAGCACCATAATGGTGCTGCTGGCAGAGGAGACGTGAGAGGCCTGTGCAGGGCTGCCAACCCGGCTGCCAACCCAGCTTCCTCCAGCCTGGATCTTAGACAGCAGAGCTTTCTAGAGCTCAGAAAGCACCAAATGCATCCCAGTTCCCTCAAGCCACTACACCAAGTAAAGCACAAACTGAGCAGTGTCCTGATGGCAGGAGAGCAGGACCCATCACTCTCTGCCTCACAAGGGTGAGGGGTAACCACAGGCCCCCTGCCAGAGTTGCCTGATGTGGAACATCATCTCCAACAGCAATTCCTTGGCCCAGCCTCACGGCCTGACTCGCACAGCCCATCTCAATGGAGCAGTGTAGGAGCAGCCTGAAAGGAGCCATGGCAGAGGTACCCCTGGATCAGCTGTGCCTACACCCACAAAACAATAGGTTACTCCTGTTACTGCACCAGGGCTACAGCAGCCACTGGCCAGGGCAGCCAGAGCCACCCCACCTGGCAGAGGTGAAAGCATGTCATGTGTCCCTTCAGCTAAATCCCTCCACACAGCCCCTGTTCTTCTCCAGGGACAGTGTCCAGGTTGCCCTGCTACCCACAGCCCCTGTGCCACTGCCCTGCTTGGAGCTGGACTGGCCACAGCCCTTGGTGGCTTGGCTAGCATGGCCAGCATGAGCCCAGCCCAGCTCCCAGCTGCAGTGGGCACTGCCAGGACTGGGACTGGGGAAAGGACACTGATGGCTATTTGACATCAAACAGCCTGGCCAGGCAGAACAAGGGGAGGGCACACCAGCACAGAGCTTCTGGGGCAGATCAGTGGTGTCCAGGCCAGTAAGCCAGACCCGAAGTCATTGTCCACTTACCAACTGGTAAAGGGGGAAACCACAGTGTCCCCTTGGCATGGTCCTGGGATCCCTTCGTGCCACCTGGCTTGGCTGAAGGGCAGCACAGGCTTTGCTGGAAGGGAAAGACCCAGGACCAACAAAACACACCCCTGTTCAGGTATCTGTGCTCAGAGGGTTCACTGCCTGAGCTATGAAACTAAGTTGTGGGAATCCAGGGCATCCCTCTGGCTGCCCTGGGACCCTGGCAGGGGTCAGGAACCCCCCTGGACAGAGCCCCCAGAGACACTGTCTGTGATCTCTGTCCATGGAAAAGAGTTTTCAATCTTACAGGATGAATTACAAACTTTGAGCGTTTGATATAAGTAATAATTAGCGTGGCACGGGTGCAAAAATAGAATTTTAGAATTCCAGATAAGAGGTTCAAAGGGGACAAGATGGAGGAAATTGGGTGTGCCTTGTCCTTTTTCTCCTTCATGCCCTCCATGTCTCACTGTGGGGTTGGCATTTTTCTGTTGGTTTAGGCTGGGGACACACTGTCCAACGTAGGTGACAGATATTGGCACGTTATTGTAAATACAGCCCAGGGAGTTTCTGGTATTTAATGTTTGTAACATCCCACTGAGGGCAGAGCCCCACACGCTGCCCTGCAGGACAGAGCTGGGCAGGGCAGCAGAACATGTGAGAGATATGTGACAGAATAAACAACCTTGAAACCAGCACAGATGAATTACTACTTCTTCTCTGGCAGCAGGGCTGAAAGACAGAGACTTTCTACAATCTTGGGATCATTTAAATATCACAGATCGTGATATTTATATGCCACCATTAAGTCTAAGGCTCTAAGAAATATTGCAAATGACAAAAACAAAAGGATCAGGAGCTTTGAAGAACTGGGGATGCTTTAGTTAGTGAAATTGCAAATTAACCCCACTGAAGTCCTCTGCAAACATAAACCAGGACTTCTGACTGCCCAGCAATCTCAGAAACCATACCTTCTCAGAATGGGCTTCAAAAACCAAAGTCAGAGCAAGCCCATCCAGCAGAGTCTGTCCTTGGCCCTCAGCACAACAATGAACTAAGGGTCAGTGCTTCCTGCATCTGCAGGAGGAGAAAAATCTTGAGGAAGACAAGAACATCCCAGTGTTTCCACCGGAGAAGCAGGCAGCATTCCCTCCTGCCTCTGAGGCCAATCCCACCAGTCAGGAGCATTCCAGTTGCTGACTTACCTCTCCAAAGGGCTACAGCTCAGCAGGCACGATCTGCTCTCGATTTGCTGAGGTCACAGGGTTTTATATTTTAAAATCAGATTGTGCTGCAATGTAGAACTAAAATTCCTGTGGGCACTGAAGCAGGACCATCAGCTCAGTTTGCTTGGGAACATCATCCCTGCTCCAAAAAGGTGTGCAACAACAGGAGAGCATGGAAGTCATGCTTAAGCTTCCAGTTTTGCAGCACTAGGCTCTTCCTGCTCACAGGATCTTCTAAGGTTTAGTTCAGCAAGCAGCTGGAATTCACAGCATGCTGTGGATGATTGATTTTGGGGAGGAGGATGTTTGTTTATAATCTTTCTCTTGTAATTATTTTTAGAAAGCAGCATGTTTCCAAATTAACACCTTGCACCTGCCCTCAGGGGCTTGGGCAATCCCCATGGATGCAGCCCTGGGCACAGGAGCTGTTTGCAGAGCCTTACACTAGAGTCCTCTGGACCCTCAAAATCCAGCTGGGCATGCTGGATCCTCTCCCTCTCCTTCTGGAGGCTTTTGCTTCTTGGAAGACTAAAAGTAGAGTCACAAGAGAATGTGAAATCCAGCCCCTGTTCCCCCTCACCAGGCTGGTACCTGCTCAGTACCTGGCAGCACTACTGGGATCACAGCCAAGGTATTTGGGGTCAGATTTAAGCACCGCAATTGCCCTCAAGTGTGTCTGGCCTCAAGTACCAGTGTTCTGCTGCTATTGTTGATTCAATACAGCCTGGCAACATTTCCAATCATTCCAGGAACTTCAAAGTCCTACTCAGACCATCCTTATTTTTGTTAAATCACCTCAAAAGCCCCAGCCACAGTCAGCTGTGGAGGCAAGTTCCCCTGTCCTCAAACATCAGGGCTGGCTGCTATCCCTGTCCTGCCCCATGCATCCCCCTTTCCCCTCAAGAAGGACTGGAGGAACGACCTAATTTCCTCACACAGAAAGCAGAACACTCTGAAATAATCTCTCCTTCAAGGCAAGCTCATTTCCCTTTTAAATAAAACAGCCATAGAATAATCTTGCAGCAAATGGCATCGGTGGCATTATCCCCTTGGAGATCCCAGCTGCAGGGCTTTGGGCTGGCCTTTTCCACAGGGTGTCCTGGCTGGAAGGAGCTGCTTTGGGAGGCAGTTTCCAACAGCAAAGGGAACTGGAACAGCTGCATTCCAAGTGACCTGACCTGTAATTTTCATCTCGAGGAACACTTCAAGGCTGGAGCTGTAATGAACTGTAGGATGTTTCATTTGTAGAGAGTCCAAGTGAAAATGAGCCTCACTGACAATTCATACCGAAGACGATATGGACACATTGATTTTATGGTTCATAAGAATCACTTCAGATCTGATTTTTCTCCTTCTGCACACTGAAGGTCAAGATACCTGCAGCAGTTAGAGGCATGCTGAGAAGCCTACCCAAATTTTGTTAGTCAAAAGGAAAATCATACAAGTCAGAAAATACAGAGGCTTGGGTTGGAGGGACCTTAAATCTCATCTTTTTCCTACCTCTGCCATGGCAGGGAC